TGGAGCACTCTTCGTAAGTGTCGCCTATGCATAGTATATCATCCAGGTATCTTACCGACCTATATCCTCTTTGTCGTAGATAGTTAAGAGGTTCTTTCATTAACTTAGTGAAAACCCAAGGGGCAACGGATAGTCCATATTATTACATATATTTGGCAGAGCGTTAAATTCAAAGCATTTTTTATTAAATTGAAAACGTAAGTACTTACGATGTTTTTTTTTTGGTATTGGAACTAAAAGGTAAGCCTCTTTTATATCGATATTTGCCATAAAGCCGGATTTCGGTAAAAGTCTAGCCGCAGTCCTATGGTCTTCCATTTTGAAATGGGTGGTTGAAATAAACCTATTTAGAGTTCTAAGATTTAAGATAAATCTTTTTCTCTTTTAGAGTTCTGAGCTAGAAATACATTGGAAACATAGTCGTCCATCGATCTACGACGGGGTGAAATAGCACCAAGATCCAATAAAGATTTGATAGAATTTAACAAATGCGGGTCATTACTGAGTACAGAATTACGTGGAACTGAAATTTGTCTTACTTTGCTACAAAACGGTATGGAATACCCTTCTGAGATCCACTTAAGTATTTGAGAATTTTTAGTTATATGTTAAACCAGCAGTTATAAAAATGCTGAATTCTTCCTGCGTGTACCTTTATTATTGTTGAGCTGTGGCACGGTGCCTGCTCTGCGCCGACGGCTTCGGTTGGAAGCTGGTGCCTGGTGGTGCTCTGCGACTTGGTAGTGTATTCTTCTTCGGCCCTCCCCTCCCCCCTCTGGTTGACGAGGAGCGAGAAAGGCCTCCCTAGTTTCCCTGGGGGCGTGAGCGGCTCTTTGGTGGTTGATGTGACGCGTAAGAAGTTTTCAAATTTTGGACAGGTTTCTTGATTTGTAAACCGTGTTTCTCGACCACTCTTGTGGCTTTTATTTTTTCTGCAAGCTTACTTCCAAAGAGCAGGTCATCACGATCCACTTCCTGCATTATATTTATAAAGGATTTACCAATCCTGGGGTCACGAATTTCTTCCTTGCTTCCATTTCTACAAAGTGTAGGTCAAATAGTATTCTACAGCTGTCACTGAGAAACTAACGGCTTGAAGTCTGTCGTTGTCATCCTCTAAGAGGAGTTCGAGTCCTTTGTTGAGAGCTGATATCCCCTGCCCTAATTGCTGCTGTACGGCCTCGACTCTCTTGTCTCTAGTCCTGGTGCCCTCAGAAGCAGCAGCCGAAATCTCAGGGTTTAGTTCAGGCACCTGTAATAACGAGCAGTTTTCCGGTATGAGATACTCTTTGAGTAGTTTCTCTTTCGCCTCTTTATGTATACCTTTCCAAGTATAGGTAGCCATAGCTGAGCTAACTTGTCATGGAGTTCCGGGCTCAACTTCGGTGTCTCTTCCGTGGTCTCACCTAAGGATTTTTATCTGAAGGATGTCAGGCTCTAATTCTGACTATACCGGTTCTTGGTCAGAGTCATATTTTGTCTCCTCATTTTTAAAGCACTATTTTTGCAGCTTGGATACTCTGAATTCAAGGCTTCTATATCGGCGTTATCAAGGTTTTCATTATCTAAAACAATAATTAATATTATTGAGGGTAGATATTAGAACCAAAGGCAAATAAATTACTGCTCGAATCAGGTCATTAATTTTAATACTTTATTTTATATTATCTCAATATAATTTTATATACGATACTATATTCGAATATTAATATACGAATATTACAACATTATTTTATAAGAATAGCTGTAAAATCGTTTCTTGAACGATTTCCAAGTACCTTCGTGTTAACACGCGGTTAACCTCTCGGTACTAAAATCACTTTCATGATGACACACGGTCAACCTCCAGGTAAAATGTAAATATAACATTTTATATTATATTGTATTTAATTTAGCATTTATAATGTTTAGAGATAAAACTTTACTAACCCGAATATTTATCAGAGTTTTCAGAAAATGAATAAATGATTCGTTTGTATTTTCGCTGATCCTGTTCCATTTTTCTAATTTTGCGTCGATAACGTTTAATTTTTTCTTCATTTTTTTGGCATAGTAACCACAGAATATAAACTACTAGCTGTTACCCGCGGCTTCGCCCGCATGGTTACTGGGAAATGAACTATCCATTGCTTTTTGAATTGAAAGAAAACGGAGTTTTATAGATTTGTCAGAGATGCAGCCATTAAAAGGAAACTGAGCAAAATTGATTCGTCATCCTATTTAAATGTTTTGAAACGCAGCGTATAGGAAAGCATGAAAATATCCCGTTTATTCCAAATGGAAATGGGATATTTTTCTAATTAAATCATAATTATCCGTCAAGGATGCAGACTTTTGAAAAGAAAGTGAACTAAATTGATTCGTCAGAGATGCAGTTTTATGAATTGAAAGGAAACTGAGTAAAATAAAAGATCCGTCAGAGATGCAGCCTTTTGAGTTGAAAGTAAACTGAGCTTAATAGGTCCGTCAGAGGTGCAGTATTTGGAATTGAAAAGAAACTGAGCTAAATAGGAAATTTTGAATTGAAGGGGAAGATCTGTGGAAATTCTGATTAATTGATTGTGGGAATTTTGAAAAAAAAAAACTAACTGAACGCTATTTTAAGACGCTACTGTACACAATGTTATATGTTTTTCCATTCGGGGAAAGAATGTGGAGATTCTGGGCATTTGACACACGCGAACATGCTACATACAGCTGACCTTGAGAGAAGCACGGTTTTTCTAAGTTGATCCCCGCTACCTGTAACGTTTACTCTTGCACTTTATTAATAGTCATTGCAAAACTGAGCTTAATAGGGAACTGCAACCTTTTGAATTGAAAAGGAAGATCTGTGGGAGTTATAGGGATCCGTGGTATAATAACATTTTCACCTTTTCCTACGTCTGTCAAAATTGTAGCACCGAGTATGTTCCGTCTAAGATGTGTCACACGCAGCCTTGTCCTGTTACATAACCGAGGAGCATCTAAATTTCGCATTAGCATGACTGGGACGCCTAATTTTAATTGAAGCTTATGTGAGGGCACACCTGACAACTCTAGAGAATTTAGAAACTCTGCGGGATATGAAGTGCTCTGTTCTGTGTCCATAACTGTGTCTACTGACAAATACTCTGTTATTTCTCCTGCTACTTCGCTTAATATATCTGAATTTATTTTGTTAACGCTCTCATTTTTTCGTGCAAGAATCGCCCTTTCACATAACCATTTGTCTTCATGCATGTTTTCGTTAAATCTGAATAAACGCTCGGAATTAATTTGGAATGACTCTGTACTAAATTACAAAAATCTCTCGTCAATTTAACGCAGACCTCAGCATCCGTTTCCAACCGCCCATCGCCAATTTTTAATAGTGTGTCAGCATAGTTTCCAGCATTGATATCATTATACAAATGCACTCTCATATTCGTAGTTAAACTGAATTTTGTCACCTTGTTAGGGTTAATGAGTGGAATTTGAAAATGATAACCCTCTTGTCCTTTGAAATAAATCAATGGGTATTGCAGAGCGTCATAAAACTTGTGTGTATCGGCTACCCGTTGCAACGTATCATCACGTGCTCGCAAGACAATGTGTCGTGAAGAAAATTGATCACCACTAATTACGCTTGCTTTGCTATTTAGTTTATCAAAGGTCCAAAATTTGCAGCGACGGTTTACCTCAATTTCTTCGTCACCCATAAACCACTAATTGCGGCTGCTATTTAGTTTATCAAAGGTGCAAAATTTGGAACGATGGTCTACCTCAATTTCTTCGTCACCCATAAAATATACTTGTAAAAATTTATGCTGTTCGTTTTCAGCTGGAAAAAGTGAACCTATTCTATGATAAATTTGCCCTTGCACCGTAAATGTAGGCGAAAATCCTGGCATTATTATTTCCCGGTCAACTCCGAAGGACCTCATTTGAAAGAGAGAAAATGAGTTATATTTCCGGATCCTGTTTAAAAAGCGCCGTATTTCATTAGCATCATATAAAAAGAGAGTTTTCAAAGTTTCTTCTGGTTCCCCAAGTAACGGAAGAGACACTTTGCCATTGGAACAGCACATGCCTGCGGTCTCATCTTTCCATTTTAAAGCGCTGCAAAATCGACACGCCTTGTCCATCAGTCCGATAACAACTAACCTGTGATTTTTATAATCAATCAACGGATCATAATTGAATGCTGCGTCATTAAAAACTGACCAATTGTTTCTTTGAAAATTAGTATGGATTTTCACTTTTAACGAAAGGTACGTGCGAACGGTGCCTAGCATAGGAATGAAGTGTCTATCGGACCGGTGGGTAAATGGAGAGATGATTCTCTAAACCTGCGAATTTCTCGAGTAGGTTAAGAGACTATCTAAGTTAATTGTATCTGAAGAATGAAGCGACAAAATATAATAATTACTTTACTAATTAATAAATAACATCAACTCAAAGTAAAGCAAAAACAAAGTTACAGACATAATACTACTCGCAGTTCTGGGTCTGGGCCTAGGCCTTCTCTCGTTTCTAAGAGGGTCATGAATCAATTAGTCCACCGCGCTGTTCCAATGTGTGTTAGCATGGTGACTCTAAATGTTTTCGAAAATATTCTACTCTTCAGACATTCAGTTTTCCTCCAAATATTTGTTACAGCTAAAGACGGTTAATTACCTCTTAAGGTTGCAATCGAAATTATCATCCAGATTCGATTGAACCCGGCTTTCTCGCGTACTTTAGAATTTGCCGTAGTAGCTACTAAGGTAGTAAGATTTAATATTTTGAGTAAAGTTTCAAGTATTAAATGTTTATAATAATTAAATTTGCTCTTACATACATAGTATTCAAATCATATTATAGTGTGGTTTGTATATGACATTCCTTGGGATAGGGCTATGTTTAGCAGGAGATTTGTGAAGGACTGTTATTATAATGATGATAATAGAATTGTATATAAAATAGGACTAGAATTTTATAACTATGCAAATAAGGAAACTAATGATTTAAATATGTCTGTAGAGGCGTCTCACAAGTTAATGAATATGTGGAAAAAATATGGAAAAGGCAATTTCCGTGTACAAGTTGGAACTGAGGATTGGGTGTTCTTATCTGATGCTGATGATATTGGGGTAAGATTTAAAATATATACATATAAAAAATTTCTGTTTTGTATTTACTAATTATAAATACATGTTTTATACTTTTGATTCTTGCATAAATGTATGTTAGCTAGCTTTTCTCCTCGCAGTTGTATCCGTGATAAGGATGTAACCTCCAGAAAGTCATGACCTACCCTTATTAAGATATCGAATAATAAAAAAATTTAAGTTTAGGCTAAGGCCTTTCGAATAGTGAAAACTGCTCATTTTATTTTAAAAGTAATAGCACTGATTTTCAAGTTACAATAAATATTAGTTTTTTTTAGTCGTTATGAGGAAGACGCTGCTGCTCATTTCCTGATTAGTTTTCCTGTGTCGCCCTACGACAACCACTACACGGTATGCATAATTGAGCCGGATAGTGACATAGGCTACTTTTTATTCCCTATACACACAAGTATATACATATATATATATATATATATATATATTACACCCACCACACACACATTCACACATGTGTGGGTGTTGTGGGACACTTCCGTGCCCTAAAAACTCTCTCAGAAATGAGAGGAGGCCCGTGTCCGGAAGTGAGACGTATATAGGCTGTAGTGTGGAGGTAACGTTTTTATTTTAAATAAGAAAAAAAAAAGAAAAAGCACTATATGGGAATGTAGAAAGTAATGCTATACATAAGTTCCATAATTATTTCTCTTGAATATTATTATACTAGCATTTAGATGCAGTGCTTCGGGTCCCCGTATTCTAATCACGCACGGAGCAGTTTGAATGATCTTAAAATAATTGTTCCGGAGCTGAATGTTTTTTGTATTGCCTACATAATATTTGCATTTAATGTACGTAAAATACTCACTCCGTGGTGCAGTGGTTTACCATTGAGTTGCATCGCTTGCGGGTACGCGTAATGATTTAATCATCAATGAAGCATAGAATTTAATTGAAGATAGAAGTGGAAGTTAACCAACAAAAACAGTGGGATATTCTGTTGGTACGAAGTGTCACAGTAGGCTCGCCTTCTAGCTGTTTCGACTAAGGAATCTAGCCATTGGTTACATGCTCTACCATCAAGTAATCTCGGCACATTGCTTGATGGGGAAAGCTTGCGCATTGCTGTAGGAATCCGGCTAGGAGTGGCTATTTGTCAACCTCACTAGTGCCCCTGTGGTAGCAGCGTCGATGAGTTTAAGCTCCACGGACTTTCATGCAAGAAAAGTGCAGGTAGGTTTTCCCGTCACGGTTCTTTGAACGAAATCGTCCGAAGGGCTCTTGTCTCTATAAATATCCCCTCGGTTTTAGAGCCTTGCGGGATATTTAGAGACGATGGCAAGAGACGCGACGGTATGACTTTGGTCCCTTGGGAGAGAGGTAAAGCCCTAGTGTGGGATGCTACCTGCGTTGATACTTTGGCGGCCTCTCATCTCAAGGGTACCTCTTTTAGAGCCGGGGCGGCATCAGAGGCAGCCGAATTTAGTAAAAGGCGCAAATATGAGTCTTTGAGAAATGACTACATATTTGTGCCATTTGCTGTAGAGACTATCGGTCCGGGGGGTCCACGTGCAATGAAGTTTCTAAAGGAACTGTATCCACGACTGGTCGCTGCTGGTGATAAGAGGGCTGGTTCTTTCCTCACTCAAAGGCTAAGTATAGCTATAGTAACTAAGTTTTTGGCACTATATCACGGGGAGCAGGTCTTTTTGACGATTAAAATTTTTAGTTTTAGATTTTCTGTATTATAGTTTCTTCTTTTATATTGTATATAATTAGTTTTAATCGTAAATATTATAATTTTAATTATTATTTTAGTTAAGTTCTTTATTATAATTTATATATAAACAACTTAATGTGTTTATGGTTTTGCTCGAATTATTCGTCGTATTTTTTTAGAATGATACAATCTAGAACCTAAAGTCAAAAGTGCATAGAATTATATAGAATTAAAGCATGAATAAAAAGATAGAATGAAGAAAGAATATCAATATCTGGCAACAAAAATAACAGATTTTGCCTTGGGTACACTACAGAGTAGGAGAAAATTATCAAATAGTGTTGTGAAGAGGCTTGGTTACAACGTTTGATTTTGCAGCTCATACTAAATTTTATATATTTCTTCTTCGACAATGCATAAAAAGGGTACAGCCTAAATATTTAACTTAATGCTCACCAAGCTTTGCAATAATCACAATTTATACGTGATTGTAGCTTCCTCGGATATTGCTACAACGTTTCTCAAGGGTTGGATTGCACATTCAGTGTCAAAAACTCGTAATCTTGTAAGCAAATAAACATGAAATTCCAACATCAACAAAAATAGAGGCCATGACGCTCTTTTGAAGCAGTGTAAGTTAGTCAGCAATCGGACTCGGGCTTCTACCACTCGTATGCGGTGTTATCATTTTGCTCTCAAGTGACTTGAAACAAATATTGCCAGTTATTGAGAGAGGTGCACCGGCGGATGAAATAAACGCGTGTCTTTTTGCGTGACCTTATTACTCCAGGGTCGAAAAATCAAATCTGACGAGCAACATTCATATGCAAACTTATGAACCAAGAATAAGGGGCCTATGCTAGTAAACTGCTACAAATCGTAAAGATTCGCCTAGAAAGGGACGCAGATGGCAGTCAGTCGTCGCATGAGTTTTCACTTTCAGTGGCGACAGAACATTATTTTATCGCAAACCTCTAATGAGTAATATCTATAATGATGATTGGTTACTTGAGGGGATAGTGATGTCACCAATATTAAGATAAATATGCTGACGCCAATAGTATGATGTTAAAATAAATAAAAATTAGACATGGTGATGGGATAATTAAAAGTCAGATACAGTGTCTATCGATGAGTGTTTGACTAGATAAAGTTACTGCATTTTTAGACCATCTTAACTCTATAAATTCCAAAATTCAGTTCACAATGGAGTTAGAGGCAAACAATTCCTTACTTTTCTAGACGTGTTAGTAATTCTGAGTCCTGATAACACCTTGAGCCATACTGTGTTTAGAAAAAAGACCCATACAGATAAATATTTAAACGGTAATTCTCACCACCATCCTTCACAGTTAGCTACTGTGGGGAAATCTTTGTTTCAGAGAGCACGAGGGATCTGTGACAGTAAACACATGGCTGCCGAGCTCCACCATGTCAAGCAAGTTTTGCATGACAACAGGCTTCGGGTCCCGCGCCTACGTCACAGTGAACGAGTGAAACCGGCCACAGTCGAGCGTGTACCTGCTGTACTGCCATATGTTAGAGGAGTCACTGACAAGATTGGCTACATCTTGAAGCGCGCTTCCATCAAAACATACTTCAAGCCGCTGAAGAAGATTGGTCAGTTTGTACCATCAGTCAAGTGTTATGTCCCTCTGCAAGATGCAGGAGTGTACAAGCTTGATTGTGAATGTGGTCTCTCCTACATTGGACTAACTAAAAGATCAATTAAAACCCGCGTTAAAGAACATATAGCTGATGTGAAGAATCGACGCTCCGGGAAGTCTGCAGTCTGTGAACACGTACAGGATCGCCCCCGTCACTACATCAGATTTGATGGACCACAAATCCTCGTTAAAGAACACCGATTCCTTCCAAGGATGATTTGCGAGGCTATTGAAATCAAAAAACATCCAAATTTCAATAGAGAAGATGGCTGGGTGCTACCATCTGCTTGGGATCCTATAATAAATAAAATTAAATCCCAACCCAACCATACAACTGCAAGACTTCAAGGTAACATAAGTTCATACTGCATAGATCGGAACAAAAGTTAAATTTTAATCTATGGTAACCGCGGTTTACTATGACATCTTGACGTTGAACATCTCAGTCCCGCCCGTGACCATGAGTGCTGTAAAGCGTTCGAACGTCGGGTATTTAAAAAGTTAAATATACGCGATAAATTCCGTAAAAACTAGTATTATTTCAATCTTTGACTGTAATACTACTGTTGAAAATAGCTTTGCTTACCCAGTCTAGCTTCTCAACACCTTGGATTAAACAGGGGTGCTTCCGAATAAGCTCTTCACAACATTAAGCGTCTAAATTATGCTAACGCGTTCTTCTTGTTCATCTTGATGAACTAAGATTGTGCAACGACACCGGGATACCCATTACAATATTATAAGGGCCTCCATGTAAATGGAACAGTTAAATACTATTATGTTTTAATTTCCCGCGTTCCAATTATTACAAAAAAAAAAACAGTTAATTGTTAATGTTACCATTAATAAGAACCAGACTTTAAAAGTAGTGGGTCTTCTTTTGGTCACTCCGATCTTTTCAGATGAAATATACAAGCTGTTCGACGGTATCGATCTCCTATAACATTAACGTGCTGTCGGACACAACTAATCGTACAATTTTCTTTACAGATTAATTTTACTTTTAATTCCACCATTTACTGCGTTAAATGGTCTCATTCAATGTCCTTGTAATGATGATTTGAGATAGAATCTATCCCATGTTATCCCGTGGGTGTCGTAAGAGGTAACAGAAGAAAACTAACTAAGAGATGAGCGACAATGTCAACCTAAGAACAACTAAAATATGAAAAATTGCGGCTGCCAACCAGCCTCCAAGCGTTGCAACTACGGAAAATATCTCCCCTATAAGGCAATATATGTGGGATATGTTCAGTAGGTGACATTTGACATGCTGTTATAATGATGATGGTGATGGATTATTATATTTTATTTCAAATAATTGGAATGACCAAACAACATTAACAGTCGTCCCGACGATAATTTACTGATTCAGCTCATGCAAGCAACTTTGAAGGCAATTTGGTGCTAATTTAGATTCCGGGCTTAAATACATGTGGTGTACTATAAATAAATACTACTTATAATACACCACAAGCATTATTTCTACGGTATATTATTAATACGTACTTATATTATTATTTATAGATAATGTTAAATCATCCTACTGAACTTGGAAAACCTTTGGAAAGGAATACAGCATTTCTGCCATTTTTTGGAAATTCTGTTTCAACATCGGAAGGTATGCAGAAAGCATTACGATAATTTATAATATTTATTTCTCTTAAAACACAATAAAACCAAAAATGTTTGCAATTTATAAATTTTTTGTTGTTGCAGTAACATCACTTTAAATTTTTGCATATTTAATTTCTGAAATCTTACTTATTTTTATATTAGGAGAAAGATGGCGATCCACCCGCAAACTTTTGTCTCCGAGTTTTCTATACAAAACATTAGAAAACAGAATAGATGTTATAAATGTTAACACTGAACGTCTGTTCAATATATTTGATGATTATGTGGACAAAGGTAGCATAGATATGTATCGCTATTTGCGACCTTTTATGTTTGATATTTTATGTGGTAAGTACAAAATTCAACAATTAATAATATGTGGTAATAATAATATCAACTCTTGATAGTAAATAATACAAATTTTTGTTTATATTTTAGATTCATTAATGGGAGTTAATTTAAATCTACTGGATAATCCGGATCATCATTACTTAAATGCTAGTGCAAAGTACGTTGAATTATGATTTTAACTTATTTCCTTTATTTGCTTTAACCTATTTCTTAGTAATTGCATTAATGTACAATGATTTTTGTTTTAGAGTTATTAGAATCATCACTCATAATTACTTCTCGTATTGGAGAAATATTCGTCCATTATTTGTACTAACCTCACTTTATAGAGAAATGATGGATACCATTAAGAGTCTTCGAGATACAAGCACAGAAGTAATGTTCATGACATATGTTTTGTATACTTAATATAATTAATATCGGATAAAATACGTTTAAATATCGTTTAATATTACAGATAATGGCCAAAAGGAGAAAAAAGTTACAAAAAATTATTGAAGACACAAAAATTATTAACGAAAATGTACACACTGAGGTAGAAAAAATAATCGAAGAAAAGGATGATATGTGCCTTTTAGATAAGTTTATTCTCAGTAAATCCATTATCGGGGACTCCCTTCCAGATGAATTTATAAATGAAGAAATTAGCCTTATATGTTTCACGGTATTTTCTAAATATATTTATTTGTTGTTTTTTTGTTTTATATAGTTCCATTAAAATGTTACTATTTCTGGTAATATAGCTTTTTTGGCAACCTGTAAGATTTCACTACTGAACATGACAATTAAAGGGAGGATTTGTCACTGTCACCTGTCTTGGTCACCGTACTATATGGCGAACGTAGTATCAGACGTTTCCACCTTTGCGCGAATTTCCATATGGCCTCTGAGCTTATCCGATTTATAAGCAAAGTATAAGCAAAAGGATGGTCAAACCCGAATTTATTCGTGCCTACATTATGTGTGGGACTACCTCCTGTGTTATTGCTAGATTTCCATTTAGAATGCCAAGCGTGCTAACTATGGCGAATATCCCCCATATGAGACAATCCATGGGGGAGGCCCATGTTCAGCAGTTGACTTTGATAGGCTGTAACGGCAACATAGATTTTTTTGACTTTGATGCTAATAGCATCCATTTTTGTTATTTTCTGGTTTTTATGATGTAAGTGGAGAGACTGATGAGTTTAATTTTCTTTTCTTCCTTCTTTCATGATTTATGCATATCCGCTTTTTTAAATAATAAATTTATTTTATTTTAAACTTTAATCTTTTCTTGCTCAATATTATTCTTAATTTATTTCAGAACACATTCTATACTCTTTTATATTTTGTACTAAATTCTCTGTCTGTTCCTATTGAGCTTTCTCTATGTTATATCGTTAGCATTAAAACTACTGTGACACAATTGAAAGAGAGCTGCTGTAAAGATAATTACTACTTGATTGTTATAGCTACGTTTACGTAATATAACTATCACACGTGTGGACACGATCCATAGCTTTGATATCGCGGAAAATAAAAGCGCGAGGTGCATTGAAGTAGTTTATATAGATAGATTAATTTGATAAAAGCAAACAGAGTGATCCAACTGTTTTAAATAGAAAATTGAAGGAGAATATTATTTCAACTTTTCTTGTATGCTTAGAAAGTTAATCTAATTATCAATAATGATTATATTAATGTAATAAAATAATCGCATTTTCGTGCTGTACCACGCTGATTGATGGACTGGTGGTGGAGTTAATCTAAATTTTATAGCCTGGTACAGTAAGTCATCTGTTAAGCATGGTGAATAGTTATAGGTAAATTTATTATCCTGTAAATATGCCACTGTATGTAGTATATAATAGTAGGGAGAAATACTATAACATAAATTAATTTTAAAGTACATCAATATTTACTATGAAAAAAAAAATTCAGGGCCACTATACAACGACAATGACAGTAAGTCATACACTTTATTGCTTAGCAAAATATCCAGAAGTGCAGAAAAGAGTGTATGAAGAACAAATGTCAGTATTTGATAATGACATTTCAAGGAAACTTACTCACCATGACTTAAGCGAAATGAAATATCTTGAAGCTGTCATTAAGGAAAGCATTCGTGTAATACCAACGGTTACGAAAATTGGAAGACAGCTGAAAAATGATGTTGTATTAAAAGGTAAATATTGGTTTGAAGCTGTTAAAATTAATTATATACATCTGTGTGTGGTCCACCCAGTGGTTAGTGGCTTCTGGAGGCCGTGGTCACCAAGACATATAATTGTCATTGAGTTTATATTGGAATCAATTAATCTTATAGCAATATTACAAAAAATAACATATAATATATAAATATGTTAAATAAGTTCATGTACCTACTGGTATGTACCATTTTATACGAAGTGGAGCCACGCTGCAGCTATTTTATGGATGTATAACGAATGGGTCGGCTCGACCGGGGAAGGACCACGAGTTCACAGATTACCAGCGTAAAATAGCAACTTAATGCTGCTGTGTTCCGTATGGTGAGTGTAGAGAACCGGAGACCCTTTTTACTGGAAACGAGGCATTCCATCTTAGTCCTCAAGTGTGACAACGCATCTGCATTTTAATTCTTTATTGAGGACAAATGTAGACGTATATTGGCCACATCATCGACTTATCATCAGGTGGACTGTATGAAAAAATTAAATGCATAACAACCTATAAAAGTGCAGAGGGTGCATTACTTAAAATCTAGGCGATTTCGTGCAAATTTAAAGGTTGCACTTAAAAATAGTGTTTCAATCACTAAAACTAACTTTTTTAACGAATACGCGTGATAGACGAGCACAAAGTCTACTCGAAGGTAAGTGGATGCATTGACTCATATACATACGTTTATCTTCGACTAAGAATCAAAATACGGATGCGTTGTCACCCTGAGGATTAAGTTGGAATGCCTCATTACCAGAAAAATAAGGAACTATGGTTATCCAAACTCACCATACGAAACACAGCGTTATTCTGCTGTCTGAGCGTGGTGCTACCCTGGTCGAACCGTTCCATTCGTACCGCAGGCATAGTATATCTACTTAGAATAACTTAAATGAAGAAACGTTAAAATTATTTTTATATATAAGCGTGAGTGTCCAAAGGACATAGTGACCGTTACTTTGCTTGGGTTGGAGGTTTGTTTAAAAACTTAAATCAAATTAAACATTACAGGGAGCATATTTCATAAATTGCGACGTTTATTAACTATTTACTTATTTAATAAAGCGTAAACAGATGGTCAGATTTTTTTTGAATACAATTATTTTACTTTTAGAGTTGATTTTATTATGAATATGCCCGTGTCTATGATCTTGCATTCTAGTCTACCCTCCAATTTTTACCCATAAACATTACATCAAGCACGAGGAGGCTACGTGTAAATGTCTCCGTGATGAAAGCTTCTGACTAAGACGATCATGTCAAAATAAAGTAAATACTTAAAAATTATACTATTTATTCTTTATTTCTAGTGTCGACCTTTTAATTATTCATCTTGGGCATGTATACACTTTTCCATTCGTCAAAGTAACTTGAAAAAGACATCTGGCCACTCTCTTACGATATCGTATGAAATCGAAATCACAGTCATGTCTATTTTTCTTTCAAACTTCTTCTCTTTTATTTATTTTTCAGATCTTTGAGATTTTTAATTAATAAATTTGTAATGGTGCCTGAAAAGCTGCCTGATTTCTGGCGTTGGACAATTGTCACACCTAGATGATAATTCTTTTGAGGCTACCAGATTTCACTCGGAGTTAATCGTTTTCTAATCTTCAGTAACAATAGCAATAATAAGAAGCGTGTTTCAGAAAAACTCTTGCCTCTGTGTTCAATCGGCAAAATTTCATTGCATTTGGCTCATCGTCAAAGCACTATATAGTAATTGTCGCATTTTTCTTTGTGAAAATCATGTCGACTGAACTCCATTACCGAGAGCGAACTACCGCCTGATTCTCATGAAAAAAAAAAAACTACTTTCAAATAAAAAAAATTAAAACATAAGTGTAAAATTTTTAAATGTATTACTGTCAATTCAGCCTTTACTATAATAACTTGCTAGACTAAATTTGAATAGTAGTAGTAAAGTAGCCTTTAAAATGTTTTTGATTAAAAATGTAATTTATTTTCAGATGGTCGGATTATTCCTGCAGGAAGCTCAGTCATAGTGTTTCTCGAGGCGATGTCTGTTAATCCGAAAGTGTTTTCAGAACCCGAAGAATACAACCCGGATAGGTTTAATAATAACATTCACCAATTCGCTTTTGTGCCATTTAGTGCAGGACCTAGGGGTTGCATCGGTAACTAACTTTTACTTTATTTACTGTCATCTTACCTTTATGACCTCACTTATAATAGTGAATTATTGATTACTAAAAATAATTATAAGATATCTCTCTTAGAGTACGTACATCCATATGTATACATAGAGAGAAAATAAAATTCTGTATAAATAGAGTCTGTATACTAGTCGCGCTTTTTGTTTTTTAATTTTTAATTTTTTTTTAATTTTCAAAAAAAAAAGACAAATCTATTGAAATGTGTTGCGTGTAATTTATGTGTATAAATAGAAATGTCAAGTGGTCATCTTTGGTCTCTGTATACTATGCTAAATATGAGAGTGTATTACTCGTATCCTCTGATTTAATAGAAAAATGACATCCCTACGGTAGTAGTATTATGTGTGACATTACGTTCGCGATGTTAGTGACAATTGACATCGTATACTCGTTTTTGTTTAATTATATATTTCAATTACTTTAATATATGTCAAAAAATATAAAGAAAATAGGATAAGCTATATTATTACAAGTAATTTTTTTCTAAATCAAGTTTTTTTTTATAGAAGATGGAGCAAACGAGCATACGGTTCACCTGATGTTAAATGACTACCGCCGCTCGTGAACAACCGCAACACCTGGGGAATTGCAGGTGCGTTGCCGGCCCTTTAGAAAAGAGTAAGGTCTTTTCTTAAAGGTTCTTAGGTCGTATTGGTCCGGAAAAATTGCCGGTAGTAAACTATTCCACAGAGAGATCGCATGCGGCAGAAAACTTCTAGCGAATCGTAGAGTGGTAGACCACCAAGCATCCTGACGGTGTGGATGGTATCGGGAGAATTGCCGCGTAATGCGTTCATGAAGTTTGGCAGCTGGGATTAATCTGAACAATTCCTGAGAGCGCTCCCCCGTGGTATATGCGAAAGAAAATGCAAAGAGATGCAACATATCTTCGCAGTGCCAGTGAATCGAGCCGATCGGAAAGCACTCGTTCGTCGACGATTCAAGTCGCTCTGAGCTGGATGCAGTCAAGTGAAAAGAGCTGGCACTGGGGAGCCGCAGCCCAGAGATGGGACCAGTATTCCATGTGTGGCTGAACCTGCGCTTTGTAAAGTTGCAGGCGGTGTGCCGGCATGAATACTGTCCCACTCTGCTGAGCACGCCAAGCTTTTTACAGGCCAATTTAGCCTTCTCTTCCAAGTGACCACGAAACTACCCGTCACTTAATATGTTGACGCCGAGGATTCCGATAATAGCTGAGGCAACAAGGGGAATGCCTTGAAACTGAGGAGATACGAAAAAGGGGTTCTTTTTAACGGGTAACTCGCACACTTGTGTCTTATGAGGATTAAACTGGGCTAGATTTAGTCGCCCCCAACCTACGTGTTTGTTCAGCAAAGACTCGACTTCAGACAAGTTTGTCCCGGTACTCGGAGACGTTTTCCCGAAAAATATTTGCACGGCCGGTGTACAGAGCATCACCAGTGCTGTTATCTTAATAGAAATTAATATTACCGGTTTGTAACATATCATGCAGAAGAAACAACATTGGTGATAGCAGGCAGCCTTGTGATATGCGAGCATTAATAGGCCTGTAATCGGAGCTTGCATCGTCTACAACGACCTTGATGCTCCGATCTGCAAGAAAGCTGGTGATCTAATTGCACAATTTCCTGCAAAGCCCTTTGGAAAGGGAACTTGTAAAGAAGCGCTTTGTGCCAAACCCGATCGAAGGCTTTCGCAATGTCCAAACTAACGGCCAATGGGAGGCAGGCCTTGGACTCTACTGCCTCCGCCGATCTATGAGTCAGGTAGTCCAGAAAATCTCCAGCTGATCGACCACGACGTAAGCCGTATTGGCGATCACTAATCAGCTGGTGATCCTTAAGGTACCTCATGAGCTGGCAGTCATAGTCATAGTCTAAATAAATTTATCGACAACGTTCTGTTGTTTCGATGGTGGTGGTGGTGTAGAGATGTCTATGGAATAGAAAAACAGCAACAACCTTGTAAAAGAAAGAAGGTGAGAATAACATAGCAGCTATCACATTTCGTACCATATAAAACATCATATGTATTAAGATTTCAGCTATAAGAATTTTGTTTAAGTTTTAGGATTCTCTCTATTCCAGTAATTTGTCTCTTTCTTTTGTCAATTAGGAATGAGAGAAACAGAAATAGTGGGCAATTTTTAAGCACTTATTGAATATTAATATCTAGATGGATTCATTAATAAGTCTATTACTTTAATTATATATTTTATTGGTCGACTCGTGACATCGTAGCGAAAAGTCACACTGGCTAACGGAAATCTTAGTTCGTTCGTTCTTAGTTCACCCACGATGGTGTTAAAAAAATGTTCTAAGTGTAAGAAAAATATCACGATGAAAGCCCCAGGCCTAGAGTGTAGCAGATGTGATAAGATAGTTCACGCTGATGCCACCTATTCCAAACTATCTAACAAGCAGCTGAATACGCTTCGCAACTCTCCGGGTATTGAGTGGAGCTGTGAAGACTGCTTAAAAATATTTCCAGAAGATCTTCTTTCATGATTCCAAAGGACGACGATGGAGATGATGAATCCGATGTAGGGTCCAACCTACAACCAATTGACACACGCAAGCTAGTACAAGATATAAGTCGCGAGATCAAAAAAACCTTTAAGGAGGAGATACACAACCTCGAGGCCTCCTTGGAGTTCTTGAGTGATCAAATCTCTACTATGGAGCAGTCTATCAAAAACAGGATGGTGCCATCAGGGATTTAGAGACCAAAAACCGAGACCTAGTTAACAAAAATAAAAATCTAGAACTGAGAGTATCTGCGATGGAACAAGAGTTAAATAATTACGAACAAAAGAGTCTAGCATCTACTCAAGAAATAGCTGGTTTATCTGATACACTTCCAAAAGATATACCAGAAGTACTTGAAATGATAGCTGTTAAACTCGAATTAAACAAAGATGACATCCAATCCTCGTCACGACTACCCGGATCAAAAAATAAACCTGGCCCGAATCTCGTCGAAATGAAGAGTAAAACTATTCGTAGCCGATGGATTGAAGTCAGCAAAGGAAAAACGCTCACAGCTGGAGCTCTAGTACCCAAAATCCCCCACGATTCCGTCGAAAACCGTGTATACTTCAGGGAAGCACTTACGAAATTGAATAAAACACTATTGTATACAGCCAAATCCCAACTAGGTAAATCTTTTCAGTTCATATGGTGTAAAGATGGGAAAGTATGTGTTCGAAAAACGAGCAATAGTAGAATCTTATATATCCGATCTATTTATGACATTAATCGCTTACAAAAACAACCGGAAAGCTCCATGATTCTAAATTAGTCACTCACTTTCAAATCACAGCTTTCGTAGTTAAAAACAGTTGTAATAGAATGTCAGAACAAATAAATCAATTAACAAATTGTACTTCAACAAACTCGTTTTTCAAACAGCTACCTAGCAACTGTCATTTAAATATTTCTTGTTTGCACGTTAATATAAGATCTATGATAAAAAACTTTACGAAATTACAACAAGTCATTCATAACTGCACGTTTCCTGTCGACATAATAGTCGTCACAGAGGCTGGTATTTCCAATAATATTGTAAATTTATATAACTTGACGGGCTATAACATGTACACACTACTACGGTCTAATAAAAGAGGGGGTGGCATTATTATATAATCATGCTCGCTTGCATGGGCGATTCAGTTAGTGGTGACACACGGGAGGTTTTTAAACAAGTCATTGATTATGATATACTTTACAAAGAATTAAAAAATGTTAAATGACTTCAAACAAACTCTACGAAATCACCTGTTGAGATCTTTAACTTCATTAAACGATCTTTTCAAAGTGCTAAAAAAGCAGCTACAAGTATTATTAAACATAAGTTTAACAAACATAATATTAATAATCAATATAAACTACCATGGATCGATGATAACGTCAATCGATTATGCGAAAAACGTAACAAACTGTTCCGTTCTTGGAAACGAAATCCACTCGATTCAAAATTAAGATTAGAATACAATACAATAAGAAATAAAGTTCATAAAGTATTAGAGAATAAACGAAATAGATACTATATTAAAAACATTCAACAGAATTTCAAAAATACAAGAAAAGTTTATCAAATAATCAACAAAATGCTTGGGCGTGTAACATCGTCAGTGGATGCGGCAGTTTTAAAAGCATTTAAAGGGCAGACGATCAAAGATATTGTAAATAACTTTGCTATAGGATTTGATAAAGCTGTGAAAAACATAATCCAAACCTGTAATTTGAATTTGTTAAATCCCAGTAAGCATTCTCGGCCAAATAATTCTAGTATATACTTTCAAAAAGCAACCCGTGACAAGGTTGATAAAATAATCAAAAAAACTTAGCTCTAATAAGGCACCAGGCTATGATAATATTGGGGTTTCCGATATAAAATGTATGGACACAGAAGAGGCCACGGCCATTGCCAACCTAATCAATACAAGTGTTGAAACTGGCATTTATCCCGACGAAATAAAGATAGGATGTGTTAGACCAATATACAAGAAAGGAAGACGGGATGATTTCCTGAACTATCGACCAATCACTTTATTATCTTCAATAGATAAAATAGTAGAAAAGTATGTGTGTAAACAAATTTATAAATTCTACAATACGCACGATGTAATATATCAAAATCAGTATGGTTTTCAAGCTGGGAAGAGTACAAATGATCTCTTGATGAAGTTAACAGATGAAATTAACGAGTATCTTAATAACAAAAAACATGTACTCGTCCTATTTATAGACTTTTCACGGGAATTCGATACTCTTGATCATAAACAAATTATCACTAAGTTGGACAATTGTGGAATACGGGGACCTCTTCTGAGATGGTGTACAAATTATCTTAAAAATAGGAAATTCTATGTGAGAATAAATGACACACACAGCGACCCGGTGACTGTAACTGAAGGCACAGCACAGGTATCTGTGCTTGGCCCCCCTCCATTTTCTGTCATATGTAAACGACATGCGCTTTTACA